CATTGTCGGTGGGAATATAAAACTAGTACAACCACTATAGAAATCAGTGTGGAGATTCCTCAAAAACCTAGAAGTAGAAATTCCATTTGACCCAGCTATCCCCCTCCTAGGTATCTTCCCAGAAGAGTTAAAAATCATCATATTACAGGGATACATGCATAACCATGTTTATAGCAGCACAATTTGTGATACTAGATCTTGGAAACAGTGTATATTCCCCTTACCAGGTGAATGGATAAGGAAAATGTGCTACTTACACATAATGGAGTATTATGCTGCCATAAAGAAAGATAAACTTGAGGCATTCATATGTGAACTAGAGAACACAGTGTTAAGTGAAATAGGTTAGATACACAAGCTCAAGTATCACATGGTTTCTCTTATATGAGAAACTGTGTGTGTGTGTGTGTGTGTGTGTATACATATACCTTTATACGGTTGTTATCTGATTTGGGAGAGTTTGTTGGTTTGTTTGTTTGTTTGTGACAGGATCTCATTTCGTAGCCCAGGCTGACCTCAAACTCATGGCAATCCTGCCTCAATGCTGGGAATTACAGGCGTGCATCACCACACCCAGCCTGTTGGTTTCTTTTTGTTTCTTTTTGTAGAATTTTTTTTCATAAAATTCAAGAATTAGTATGTTATGAAAAGAAATTACACACATTTGGCTGACATTTCCCTGCCTGCTCCCGGGGAATGGATCCCTCCCTGGTTAAGTCTTGGCTGACTGTGTGCCTGTGGTTATCACCTGGAACTCAGTCTGCAGCAGGGCTTTAGCTCTCTGGCCTTGTGTGTGTGTAAAGTAAAGATAAGCTGCCTGCAATCGCAGCACTCCTAGCGACTGAGGCAGGAGGATCACAAGTTCAATCCTACCCTGAGGAATTTAGTGACTCTATTAAGAAATATGGGGCCAGGGATTTAGCTCAGTGGTTCCAGCACCTGTCTCGAAAGCACAAGGTCCCGAGTTCAATCTCTGTACCAAAAAAAATATATATATATGAAAAGGCCTGGGCATGTAGTTCAGTGAAATGACCCTGAGTTCAGTCCCTGTTGCCACCCAAAAAAGATAAGCTGCTTTCTGTTCTCTCTTCTGTTGTCATCATCTTGGGTATGGACACAGGAACCAGACAGATAAACACCAAGGCTCAGCCAGAGCTAATAGCTGCTGCAGCTGTAGTCATGGGCACTGTCCTGGCTAGGTTGACAGACATCTTCTGTGTGTTAGCTATGGTGAGAAGAGGAGGAGAGGAACCCCTGCACTAGGAAGACCATGTTGGAGTAGGGGTGAAGAAACCATCCTTGCCTGTTTGTACATTTGCCTAGGGCCCTGGAGTTTCATGTACATACAAGGGATAATCAAAATGTGTGATCAGTATTGGCATTTTTTAAAATGTACTACAGCAAAAGACACATTTCCATTAATCCCTTGCTTTAAACACACTTATTTCACAGTTCTTGCCATAAATCCCCCTTGCCCATCCCCCTGTTCTTGACACTTTCTGCAGCAGTTCTGGAAGTCCTCTTTCATGAGTGTCTGTACAGTATGTGATCAAAAATACAGTGAAGGCTGCTGCCAGGCACCAGTGAAAAGGCAGGCTCGTAAAAGCTGTGTCCGCATCCGCCTTATTCACCAGATCTGGCACCATGCGGCTTCTGGCTCTTCCCCAAAGTAAAAATGGCCGTGAAAGAGAACCATTTCAAATGGATTCAGAACACCAGGGAAGCCACTACAGTGCAGCTGAAGATACTTAGGACAGAGGATTACAGAAAGTGGCAAGGACACTGGGATGTATGTTTGAAGGAAAGGGGGTTAATCAAAATATATCTTTTGCTGTAATACATTCTCTATATATTTTGATCACACCTTGTACATCTAGTTGAAAAGCAAAATTGGTTAGTTTTTCCAGTACTAGGATTGAACCCTGAGCCTTTGCATTGAGCTATATCCTCAGCCCTTTTTTATTTTTTATTTTGAGACGAGGTCTTGCTAAATTGCCAGGCTGAACTCAAGCTTCTTGCCTGCTTCAGCTTCCCAGAGTGCTGAGATTACAGGCATGCCCTGCTGCACCCAGTGCAAATTGTATTTACATTTGTGTTTTATATTCTGATCTTTCTGTCAGTGTCCATCAGTGAAAGGGGAGAAGAATAAACAGAAACTTGCTAAGTAGCAAGTGACAAGCAGATTCAGGTATAAAACTTTGGTACTTCATTGTGAACAACCAAAATGATTTACTGTTACATGGTGAACTTACACACCTGAGTGGTTTCCACTTTTTGTCTCTTACAAATAATGCTGTTACAAACACTCATGTGCACATTTTCATGTGGAAGTGGGTTTTCATTTCCCTTCAGAACCGCTGGCCATGTGTAACTCTGGCTTTACCCTTGAGCTGCCAGACTGTTTCCAGAGCAGCCCCCACCCTCCTTCCCACCAACAGTGTGCGGTATCACCTACATGGGTGTTATTTTCCTGTCCTGTGGTCCCTAACCTTTTTGTCTCACCCTCTCCCTCCTGTCATCAGGCATCCGGCTTCTTCCATCAGCCAGTGTAGTGCTACCCCGTTCCCTTGGTGGCCATGGAAGTGAATTGTTTGATCTGGGCCAGGTCACTGTGGAACTTTCCCAAGTTTTAGTTCCTCCATGTGAGATGAAGTTTACACCTCTGCCCTCCTGGGGCTGCAGAAGTGAGCCAGGTGGAACATCAAGTGAGATCTGCAGCATTTGAAAGGCCTGAGAGATTGGACAGGTTGCAGGCCCAGCAGGTGGTGTGGTGGCCCATGGGACACACACCAGCAAGGCCACCTGTGTCTGTGTAATCCCCTGCCTGCCCCCAGCCCCTGCCCCTCAGCTGAAGAGAGCTACTTGCTGCCAGACAGCTGTCCCTTAAATCCCAAGAGCCACAGCTGTGTTGCTTTGCTTTTTGCTTTTGTTTACTTTTTGGTGCAAGGTGCTCAGATACTGCCAAACACTACAGCACATGGCGCTAAAGTGGGGCACTTGCAGAAGTACAGTGTGATAGTGCAGTCTCCTGGCACCTGGTGGAGATGAGATCGAGAGATGGCATCTGGGTAGTGGGCACAAGAAGGCAGAGGTACCGGGAGCATTGTCCTGGGCACCAGGGAAGGTGGCAGGAAGCAAGAGAAAGCGTGTGAAGGTCAAGGGACTCAGGTTCCCACCAAAGATAGCAGAGAATCGAATAGGATTCAATAACATACCCTGTGCTAGGGACCAAAGCCAGGGTCTTGACACTGAGCTACACTCCCAACCTTTTTTTAAAATGTTTATATTAAGGCAGTCTCACCAAGTCTCTGAGCAGGCTCTACTCAAACTTGAAACCCTCCTGACTCAGCCTGCCAGAGTGTACTACCATACCTGCTGACTTTTTAGGTTTTTAAATCCTCGTTTCATAGAGTGGAGTTAGCTGGGCACTGTGAGCCTCTAGTCACAGCACTCTAGTCTCAAAAAAAGGGGGGAGCTGGGAATGCAGCTCAGAATGAAGCCCCTGAGTTCATCGCCCATTACCACAAAAAAGGGGGGGGGGAGTTTAGGATAGAGCATTAACGCTGTAATACAAAAATTACCTTAAAGAAAGAAATTCTTTGTATTACTTAACAGTTTGTATACTATAGGTGTGATCGAAAACAAGAGGAAAGGACAGGCTAGTGCTAACCGTGTACATGTGTCATGCCTCTGTGTTGTGTTGAGCTTGTGGGGCACGCTCAGAGCCACGTGCTGTGCTGCCGTGGCAGTGACAGTCACCCAGGGGAGGGGAGCCTTGCCAGCCACCCTGACCAACTCAAAAGCTCTTGTTTCGGGCCCCTGCAGCAGGACGTAGTTTCCTCTCCCCTCGCCTTACCTTCCTTGTGTCCCCTGTCTTTAGCTTGCTGCTGCCTGCTAAACTTCGGTCCTTAGAACTCCACACGCCACCTGTCAGGCTGGCCTGAGTTCCGCCACCAGACAGTTCACTTGGCCAGCTCTGATCTGCACTCCCGTCCCCTCGAGCCCTGCATGGGCCCACTGTGGCCCGTCCTGGCTCCAGTCTACCTCCCTTAGGAGGGCTTCACTCTGCTTCCTTTGTGACTTTCCCACCCTCTCTGATCTTGTCCTGCAAAACTGTTCAGACCACTGGGTCTCAGACACCCAGTCCAAGTTCCAGCTCACACAGAGTCAGACTTCCTGGGTGTGGGCTCAGTGCCAGACATACAAAACGAGTGGAGCTCCCTGCTCCTGGGAAACCTGTGTGGTCCCCCCCCACCCTGTCTTCCTGTCTGCACTTGGCCACAGCCAGTTGGGCCTCTATCCTGTCCTCAAACATGCTGGCTGGCCCCATCTTGAGAGCTTACACAGCTTCCCTTCTGTGTACAATTCTCCTTCTTCCACGCCTTTGTGTTCCTCCATCCTCCTAGCCTCTATTGCTGCCACTGGAGTCCCAGCCATTGTTGCTGAGGGTCAAGCAGGAAAATCACCTTCCTTGCCCATCCCAGGAGCACCATGTCCAGGCGTTGATCTTCCTGTTGGACTTTCCTGTACCTGGAGTTGTCCTGTTTTCTACATCTCCTTCCTCTCTCTCTTTCTCTCTCTCTCTCTCTCTGCGTGTGTGTGTGGGGGGGGTGATCATGATCATGGTATCTGGGGCACAGACACTTGGTGAGTGACCAGCCAGGGTTGGAGGGGCCACTGGGGAGTGCAGGAGGTCAGTTTCCACCTGTGTGAGGTTTGCATTCCCCAGCTTGTGCCTATCCTGTGCGCCTCAGCGCCAAGACAGGACTGCCTCAGGATCTGGGTAGCAGAAAGCTAAGTGGAGCTCCAGATGTCACTGCAAATGCTGCAAACTGGGAAGACTGGAGAGGCCGTGCTGCTGTGTGACTGGCTTTGTGACAAGCATGCTCTGTCACCCAGGGTTCTTCTAGTCCTCCTTTACAGAATAGACTTGCAGGTTGAATACAAATTGCACTAGAAAAAATACAGAGTGGATCAAATTGTGACCTCTCCCTTTGTAGATGTGAACGATTAGAAGAACAACTAAATGACCTAACAGAACTCCACCAGAATGAAATCTTGAACTTGAAGCAGGAGTTAGCCAGCATGGAAGAGAAAATTGCCTATCAGTCCTATGAACGGGCCCGAGATATCCAGGTAAGTGTAAAGAGTAAGGTTTTATAAAAGCAAACGCTAGAGGATTAGAAAAGGAAAGGACAACAAGGGGAAAGTCAGGAAGGAGTAGTCTCTAGAAAACCTTGTGCTAGCTGTGATATGCCTGCCTTCCCGATGACTGAGACACGTTTTTCAGATGTCTGTGCAGCTCTAGAGAGGTTCACCTGGCTGGGAGATGTGTCTGAATCTCAGAAAACCAGAGTTCCATCCACTGGTTCCTGTTTCCAGAGCTGCTCTGACCTGAAGTCGTCTCACCTCTGCCCTTATATGGGAGATGGGGCTTCTGTCCCACCTGCCACCAAATCTCCATCTCTGAAGGCCCCATCGCCATGAGGCAGTAATGTTTTGGATAAACAGCCTGTCTTATCCCATGGAGAAATAGAAAGTTTAGTTTTGTTTCTACCAAGAGGTCCATCTGAGGGGACAGGTCTCAGTGGTTTCCTACAAAGGCCCCTTGAAAGAAGCTAGTCCAAGAGAAGGGCAGCAGCCTCAAAGCTCAGTACAGCCACCACCAGTAGCTTGAGGACACCTTTTTGCACTTCACATTGGCTCACATTACCTGCACATCATCCTGGGGAAAGCATGGCCATTGAAACCCAGGGCCACGTACTGCCAAACTCAGCTAGGGACACAGGTTCTGGTCCCTGGGTAAACTCGGTGAAGGTCTTGGCTGTGAGGGGAACAGATCCATCGTGATGCTTGGTCTTATGTGTGAGAGCCACTGAAGGGAAGTATTTCCTCATTGGGGAGGTCAGTTCCTTCCCACTGATGTCAGGCACTGTCAGACTTAGAAAACACAAGGCAGAGTATGCAGAGGGGCATGTTCAGAAGATGCCTATAGCCGCAGTAATAGGTTAAAGAAGTTGGAAACAACCTAAAGTCCCCAAGAAGGAACTGACTGAAACACTGGGACATACCCAGACTGCAGTGTGCTGGGTGTTGCCCTGGATCGGGCTCAGAGACCCGCTGTACAGTGAAAAGTAAGTTGTGGGTGGCTTTCTGCAGAACACCGTTCCACAGTGTCAATCCCTAACCTGTCTGTGTCCCTAGCTGCAAGGATGGGCACTTGCCAGGGTGTGTTTCCAAATAAAAATGTATGTTTATGTTAAACAACTCTGAGTATCCTGGGTAACTTAGATTAATAATTTTTAAGGGAAACAAATCAAATAGCTGAAATCTTATTAAAATGTGCTAGATAGAATAAATGAGGGTGGCCAGCTTCCTGGGAGTGCCCAGGGTGTGGGAGCAGGTGGTGCCCACCTTGGGGAGTCCTGGCTGGGTGTGTGCTGGGCAGCAGGCCTAACCTCCCATCCTATCCTGTCCCATCTCATCCTGTAGGAGGCCTTGGAGGCATGCCAGACCCGCATCTCTAAGATGGAGCTGCAGCAGCAGCAGCAGCAGGTGGTGCAGCTGGAGGGGCTGGAGAGCGCCACCGCACGCAACCTGCTGGGCAAGCTCATCAACATCCTCCTGGCCGTCATGGCAGTGCTCCTAGTCTTTGTGTCCACAGTAGCAAACTGCGTGGTCCCGCTCATGAAGACACGCAACAGGACGTTCAGCACTTTATTCCTCGTGGTTTTTGTTGCCTTTCTCTGGAAGCACTGGGACGCCCTCTTCAGCTACATGGAGCGGTTCTTCTCGCCCCCTAGATGATGCTGCCTGACACAGTGCTCCTGCTGCAGTGCATGCGGAGAGCAAGACAGCAGCCAGCCTGCTCGGGAGTCCCTGCAGCAGCAGAAGAATTGAGTGAATCTGTTTACATTTAGAATAATGTTTTTTCTTCAAGAGACACAATTGCAATAGTATTTTTTAGATTTTATCCAAGAAGTTTTTTTGGGCAAAAATCTTGGATCATTTTTATGTAGCATGATTTCCTTGGGATGCAAATCTTAAACAGTCCTTTAACATGAACCCACAGTCAGGGCACACTGAAGGGCATTCAGAATCGTGGCTTGAAGGACTACACTCAGACCCCTGAACAGACACGGAGCTGGGTAGGACAGCAGTTAATGACACCCTCCCTGCCTGGGTCCACTCCGAGCCTGGCCTGACTACTGTGAAATCCGACCACATTCCAGGCCTGAATGCTTGGATCCAGGGTGGAAGGACACACGCGTTCCCTAGCTTCTCACCCCAGTTGGCCACTGGTGTGAGCCCTGGACACCCACTCCCTGGTGAACACGGGCACTGACCCTGCCAGGAGTGACAGTGTTGTGTCCAGAGGGGCCCTACGCAGTCCTGCAGCATTGTGAAGCAGCCCTCCAAATCCTTCATTTTAAGCAAAATCCCTTGGCCACAATTTTAAGGGTTTTTTTTTTATATGTGTATAGTTACCAACTTAAAAACAAAAAAACCCGAACTGCATACTTGAAGAATGTAATACTCAAACTCTCAGTGCTTCCTTATGGTTTCTAATAGGATTTTTATTATTGTTATTATTATTATTATTGGGTTTTTTTGGACGGGGTTGGGAGGGTCTTTTATTTTGCCTTTGAAATAAAGAAGTGCTGTTTTTAAATGAAGACGTGTGGGTATGTAAGTGTGCTGCCCCTCCTGTCTGGAACAGTTCAGGGAGAGCCTTGCTGTCCACACTGCCCTCTGCCGCCCCTGGCTCGGGATGCAGCTTGTGCTTCCTTGTCTGGCCACTGCTGCTTTCTGGGGTCCGCTGCCCCCACACCGCCACTTCCTGGGCGTGGCTTCTTTGGGAGGCAGGGGATGTTCAGGGGGAGGGGGCTCTTTCCACAGGCCAGTGTGGTAGGACTGGGACTGTGCTGCCCAGGTAAATGTTCCTCCAGTGACCTTGGGCTGGGAGTATCTTTTGGAGAAATCGAGACTGTTAGGAGAGTCCTAAGTAATTCCTAGTATGCCCTTAATTTATTGTTTAACACCCCGAGTTACTGAAACCAAAGTGACATGGAGTCTTCTGTCTGCATTCTGGCCCCAGCACCCTTAATCACAAAGCTTTATTCTGTTTGCCTAAGAGGATCAACTGAAGGGGATTCTCCTGAAGAACAGAAAAGGAAACGTCAGGTTAGAAGGACCCGATTGTGAGTGTGAAGTGTTGCCAGCTCCTCCTCATCAAAGACAAACTTACTAACCGAGCCCTGCTCAGTGGACTTTTTATAGGCAGTTTAGGAAATGAGCTGAGCTTTCTTCCCCGCCCTGTAGCCAGCTCTATCGTCTTGGTGGAACTTGAACTTTTTGAACTTAATCTAGAGACCCTGATTGGTCTTTCCTATTATCCACAGTCTTGGGTCACAAATGCTGTTCTCTCGCAGCCTTGTTGTGTGCAGCCATGTGACATGCAGGAGCACGTACTCTGCCTGCAGAGAGAAGCCAAGAGCGCTTTGCCTGTTCCTCATGCCGAGACGGCTCTGGGACCAGGTCAGCCCTGGTCTAAAGGACAGCTGACATGTCAGCTCCAGCTGCCTTGTGCTGTGGCACGCTGGCCTTCTTGGCCGCCTCTGTCGTCCGCATAACTACATTGACGCTTAACTCAGGTACCCCAGTCCTCACCCATCACCTCACAGCACCCAGAGCAGGGACCAAAGGGGTATGATTTCTCTTTTTCAAAAGATGTTTATGCCAAAACCAAATTGTTCCCACGCCTGTTAACATGTTAACTTTACCTGTAGATATTGCAGTGACTAGCACGAGTGCCAGAGGACACCCTGACCCTGTCTAGCAGTTTCTGCTTTAGCTTAATTGCTCAGAGTAGAGTCGGAAAGATGCTGTAACTCCAGTCATGGTTTTCCCAATGCAGCACCTTTGAGGCTTCTGCTTCCCAGAGCTCCTGAACTCACAGGCACTGCACAGGAGTCGCTGTTATATCAGGGTGATGTGGTTCCCACTGCTGAAGGAGTTTCTCTCGAAGGAATGTTTCACCTCTAGAAAGCCTCCGAGAATTGCGCCTGACAGGCCAGGCTGATTCCCTTTCTTCCTCAGGCTGTCTTGGGAAGGATGTCGGTGCAAGTCAAGCACATAGTGGCTTTCTCGCTCTGCTGTGCCCTGATCATTCATGAGGCCCAACTGTGGTCTGTGTTTGCTGCTCTCTAAAACCCTGTGTCTGTTTCCATGCCTGCCCAGCCCAGTTGCCTTTGAGTTTCTCTGCATCATGGCTGTTCTTGAATTCTCCTACCTGTTCAGACCCCTTTGATAACCTCACACTATGGTCCCATATCTGCTCTGAGTGGAACTTCTCCTCACTTCATGCTTCTCTTAAAAAAGACGATGTACGCCCCTTTGAAATGACACATTCCCTGACTGTGCGTCTGTGCAGTGCCGAGCCATTTGAGCAAGGCTGGCCATGTTGGGCCAGCTGGCTGGGCAGGCTGCAGTTGCGCTGCGTGGTGACAGGATCGCTCAGTGCACTCCACCAGCAAGGAAGGCTTCCTACTCAATTGGTTCCTCACCATCCAGATGGAGGCAAAACCTTCCACGTCTCAGAGTAGATCTCTCCCCTGCCCCGGCAGTGTGAGGTTGACACCAAGAGGAGCATGAGAATCAAGCCTTCCTTGCTGGCTGTGCCTAGTGGGGAGCGAACCACGGTGTGGTCCTGACGGCCTGTGGTTCTGTGTCTGAACCCATGCTCCACTGTGGTGCAGCCAGAAGAATGCGGGGCTCTACATGGGTCCTCACAGGGAGCTGCCTGCCCTTCAGCTTTGGGAAATACACACCTAGAACCAAAACCAACATTAGAATTGACAAACGGGCACAGACAAAAGCATAGTTCCCACACCACCACGCTCAGTGAAACCTGGGATTTCGAATGTGGCTCTGGCAGTTAACGTTTCTGTGTGTTGTGTATGCTAGGGCACCCCTCCACAGGGACTGAGTACTAGACTGTGTGTTTTATCCAAGTATGTAAGAATAAAAACTCACATGCACGAATTGAGAGTAAAGAAATGACACTTGTGAATGCGTGAACGTTAACACTATAGTTGATAGATCTTAAGCTGCTAATTGTTGAGAGAGAATTAAACTTTTGTTCTGTCTGGTTGCTGCTGGTTGTCAGCAGTGCATTTACTGTACATACAATTGGAAATAAAGACCTCAGCTATTAACCTGGTGGTCAGACTCAGGTTTATTTTGCTGTTTATTTTTGTACATTCAGTGTCCAGTGGCAAGTATTTCATTCTGAAAACTTTCCACTAGTTTACACATTAAAAAGTGTGAGAGTGGGGCCGGGGATGTAGCTCAGTGGCACCGCACCTGCCTGGCAAGTGCAAGGTCCTGAGTTCGATCCCTGGTACCGGGGAAAAAAAGTGTGAGAGGGTGTGTGCATGTGTGTGTGCGTGTGCATGTACACTCCTGTGCGTGCACAGAATCCAGGAGCTATAACTGCCAACTGGGCAGCTATCACAGCATTCTGGGCTGACACTCTGCTGTCATCAGACCCCACTCAGGTCTCTGGAGAAGTACTCAAGCAGCGTCACCCAAATCCAGTATCTGCGACCCAGACGGGGCGTAACACTTGTCCATCCTTCGGGAACTGCAAAAACTGTTATACTGCGTAGAAACACACCTGATGAACCATTTAACATTTCAAGGTACACACACATGAATAAGTTATTATCCAGCCTAATTCTACCTATGGTTTTGCAGAAGTAGTAAACAGTGGTGTTTTATTTTGTTTTAATTGGTGCTAAGTTTGAAGCCCAGTCTTGCACACAGTAGGCAGCTGCTCTGCCACTGAGCTGCATCCCAACCATTTTGTTTTTTTACTTCGTCTTACTAAGCTTCCCAGGCTGGGTTCACACTTGCCTTCCTCCTGCCTCAGCCTCCTGAGTACTGAGATTACAGGTATGTGCCACTACGGTTGACCCCAGAAATATGACATCTAGTAGGACTTCTTGATGAACTCAGAGCTCTAAACCTGCCTGTGACAGGGACTACATGGGCCCCGATGACTTCGTTCTTCACAGCCCCAACATGAGTGCAAGGAAGGCCCAGCCGGCACACTCCCTCTTGTCTCTTACCGACAACTAGTGAGATCACAGTCTGATCTGACTAATGGGTGTTGTGAGAGCAGGCACATCTCTAGTGAAAGCTTTAAAAATTGCTGTGGGAATGAGAGTCCTTCAGCTTCTTAAAGTAATAAGTCAGGTCACCGTGTACAGACGTTGAGGCTGTGTACTGCCCAGGCCTGAGGGCCTTCGCGGGCCACACTATGAACACCACATGCTAGGGTTGTGCAGTGCACATTGCAGCCCTGAAGATGGGATGTATTGTTGAAAGGTTGCATTAAAAACTGGGGGAGGGCTGGGGATTTAGTTCAGTGGTTTCCCCTCCTGCTGCACAAGTGCAAGGACCCAAGTTCGATCCCCAGTACCAAAAAAAAAAAAAAAAAAGCTGCTACTTACTGAATCCTATGCTGTACAGAGCCCACTGTTGTCTCCTCACTTCTGGACCCTCCAGCTGCCCTGGGGAGGGGAAGCGTCATTTCCACCCTGCAGATGGAAACAAAAGCCGGGAAGGGTCTGGGTTTCCCACTGAGGACAGGTCCTTCCCCAGGACATCAGTCAGGGCTGCTCCCCCTTCCCACACGCCGCTCCCCAGGACTTGAGACAGCAGAGCACTTGGCTGAGTGTGCGAGGCCCTGGCCAGCACCCCCTGCACCCAAACAAAAAGCGGGCCTTGGACTTTATGTGATCTTGAGAAACCAAGCCATCTGCTCTCTGCACCTCCGTGACCTCGTGCCCAGTGCCCACTCAGCGACAAGCCCAGGCCACAGCGGGGGCTCCAGCTAGTACATTTACGGTACTGCACAACTACCTCTTTCCTGGTTCGAAAGCATTCTCACCGCCCTAAAAGGAAAGCCCATCCCTGCCTTCAACCAGCCCCTCATAGCGACCATGCGCTTTCTGTCCCTTAGCTTCACCTCTTCTCAGCGTTGCATACAAATGAGTCATCCACTGTGGCTGTTTACGTCTGGCTTCTTTTGACTCAGCTAAGGTTTCTGAGGCTCCTCCATGTTGTATGGTAACACACATCAGAACTTCCTTTGATGGCTAAATACTGTTCCACCATATGGAGAGAACATGTTTTGTTCATCCCTGGTGGATGAATCCCTTGGTGATTCAACCCAGTGGTGGAACACTGGGTTACTTCCATTTGTTGCTGCATGGGTACTTTCCTGTTTGAATCCCTGCTTGTAATTCTTGCAGGTAACACCTAGGAGTGACATTTCTGGGTCATGTAACAATTCCATGGCAAACTTCATAAAGATTTATGGCCTCCCTCTGGGACACCTGTCCTGATTTCCCCTCACATATGCTACTCACTCCCAGCACCGATTCACAGAGTAGCTGCTGTTGGCTTCTGGGTAGTTTTACACGCTGCATCCTTCAGGAAAACCACTCTCCTCTTTCCGCTTCCTCATTTCCCACAGCACTGACACCCACACAAGCCCCAGCTTGAGCAATGCCAAGTGGAGAGCCAGGATGTGGCTGGGGTTCCAGCCCAGCACCACAGAAAGAGAAAAGAAACAATATTGTCTTAGCCGCTTTCCCATGGCTGGGACAAATACCTGGCACCCCCAGTGTAGAGGAGGAGAGATTTGTTTTGGCTCACAGTCTCAGTCCATGGTCAGCCAGCTCCAGGCAGAAACAGGATGGCAGAGGGGCCTCACAGAAGAGAGGGTGCTCAACCCACCACAGCCAGGAAGCAGAGAGAGAGAGAAGGGAGTGGCAGGGATGAGAACACAGCCCCAGTGACCACCTCCTAATAGCACACTCAGCTGCAAACTCATCATGGATGAATCTTCAGGTGCATATGGCACCCCCATGATCAAATCACACTCTAAATACATGAAACTTTTGGGGGGTGTTTTAGATCCAAACCATAACATTCCACCCTTGGCCCCCAAAACCTCATCTCCATCTCATTATGCAGAATGCATTTAGTTATCTCTAAGAATTGTAAAGTCCCAACAGTTCCACCATTGCTGAAAAGTCCAAGTCCAAAGTCTCCTCTGAGACTCAAGGCAAACTCTTAGCTATAAGAACCTGTAAAAATAAAAAAAGAAAGTTAAACACTTCCAACATACAATGGCACAGGTAAACATTCCTATTCCCAAAGGGAGAACTATTAAACCACAGCAAGACTGAAATCCAGCAGGCAAACATAAAATCCTATAGTTCTGTGTCCAGCCCTAGGGCAGGTTGTGGGGAGATGTGTGCTCCAAAGGACTTGGGTGGCTCCACCCTGTGGCGCTGCTGGTTGCAGCCCTCGGGCTGGATTCACTCACTTCCTGCTGATGATCCGTGTCCCTGGCATCTCTGACATTCTGAGGTATCTACTGCAGTTTTCACTTCATTCTCACAACTTCACACACTGCCTCTCAGGGGTTCACTGTCTGGCCTCCCAGGCCTTCCTTTAAATTTGGGTGGAAGTCAACTCTTGCATTCTGCATGCCCATAAAATCAGCACCACATGGATGACACCAAGGTCTGGCACAGGCTCCAGCAGTAGCCAGGCCCCCTAGGATCATGGCTGCAATGGCCTCTGAGTGCCTGGGTGGCTGAGCCCTATGAAATAAATCCCAGGGAACCAATTTCTTAGGAGCCCTTCTCAATCAGGGGACCCATAGACTCTCTTCTCAAAGAAAAGCTTTACAGTTTTGAGCACTTGGCTTTTTATTTTTTGTATTTGGCTTCTTTTTAGTGCTACTCTTTTCAGCAATCATGCTCTCCATGGGCCCAAATTTGCATGTGCTTTCTTTCTGATGAATCTACACACTTTTCATATCTGCTTTTTGCTCATAATTTTCACTTAGATCTGGATAAAAGCAGCCAGCAGTACCCATGCCCAGCCTATACATTGGGCTATGTATTAGTTATTTTTCTCATTGCTGAGACAAATATACCCAACACCCACAAATTAACGGAGGAAAGGTTTATTTCAGCACACAGTCTGTAGAGGTTTCAGTCCATAGTCACCTGGCTCCAAGGCAGGGTGGCATGGCAGGGGAGCATCACAGAGGAGAAACAGACTAGCATGACAAGCAAAACAGCAGCCTGCTTCCCATCCCTCTCTCTTTATATTCCATTCAGGTATAAGCCTATTTATTGGTGCCATCCACATCCAGGGTGGGGCTTCCACTATCCAGACCCAGAACTATGCTAAACCATTTAGTTATCACACACACTTAATCCCAGTATCATACACCCTAGATCCAGCCACCTCCAAGAAACCCCATCTATGAGCACAGTAGGCTTTGGGGAAACATCTAGATACAAGGCATATCAGGATACTTTAAATTTCTTCCACCAATTTAATTAGTCCACTGCCCTTAATCTCAGTCTTTCACAAAGTCTCAGGCCATGGACAAAATGTAGACACATTTTCTCCCAGAGTGTAACACATATAGTCCAGCTGCCAATGGAGTTCTCATTCCCAGTTGAAACCTCCTGAGCCTGGCTCTGACTGTTCATATTCCTATTAGCATCTGGTCTTCTGAGCTTCAATCAGAATCTTCCACCAAGCTCTCTGCTTACAGTATTCTAAGGTTTCTCCAACCTGCATTTCCAAACTTTTCCAAACTCTTCCTGCAAACCAGCTCCAAAGGCTTCTGAACCACATTGCCAGGTATGGTCACAGCAGCATCCCTGCTCTCAGTACCAGTATGTCATAGCCACTTTCCTATCACTACAACAAAATACTCAACACCCACAATTTAAACGAGGAGAGGTTTATTTTCCCTCACAGTTTCCGTCCATGGTCCTGACCCTAACAGAGGTGAACAAATGATCTGAGTCAGGCCATCAGGGTCAGTCCTGAGACTCTTGCTGGCTGTGTTGGGAGACAGGAGCTCTTCTCCCTAGAGTCACTACCTACACCCAGAGCCTCCAGGACCACATCCTCTGAGGCATGAAGTCACCAAGGAGGGAGGCAAAGGCAAGACACAGAGAAGGGAATCTGGGTCCTGATAAAGGCAGGCCAGCTCCTGGATGCAGCTGTGCCTGAAGTCAGAGTTCGTCTCTTGAGCCCCTGGTATCATGAGCCAGTGAACTCTCTTTTTAGTTGTTTTTCTTTTTGGTTTTTTTTTTGGTACTGGGGATCAAACTCAGGACCTTGCGCTTTCGAGGCAGGCGCCGGAACCACTGAGCTAAATCCCCAGCCCTAAGTGAACTCTCTTTATTGCCACAGCTAGTTTGTCACATGCCCCTGGGGACATGTGCAATGGTAGACATGTAAGCTACTGTTTAGATCTCAATGTCCCCCAAAGTCTCATGTGTTTAGAGGTGGGGATTTCGGGAGGGGATTGGATCATGGGGTGCTGTGCTTGTCTGTGAATCCATCCAATCATGAGTTCATGGCTGAGTGTTGTGAGGAGGTGGCGCTGGTCGGAAGCAGAACCCTGGGGTTGACCTGAACAGTGTGCTCTTGGCCCCTGCTCCTCCCTTCCTGCTCTGCTTCCCAGCAGCCAGGAGGTGAGCAGCTGTCCTCCGCCAGCCCTTCCCCATGCCTTCAAGCCGGCCGACCATGGACTGAAACCCAGGACTGTGAGTCACCAGGAGGGGAAGGGGACCCTGGAACACAGCTGCAGGGCCCCTCCCTTGGGGACCAGGTTGGCCCTCACTTCCACCACTTTTGTGCTTGGGGCTGTGGAGCTGGAGACCAGATCGAGTTGGTGTGAGCAGGTGACTGTGCAGTGGGTAAATGAGCAAGGTCAGCAGAGAAAGGCACAGGCAGGCAGGAGCCAAGAGGCCTGCACACGCAGCCCTGGGTTGGGTGTTCAGCCCTGGTCATGGAAGAGCAGGGGCCGCTAAGCAGTGGCCCTCTGGCCTGATTACCTCAGGCTGTCCTCTGGGACCTGTGTGCGTGTCCCTGAGAGCTGCCAGTCATTAACCTTCTGGGACTTGTGCCGTGTCCTTGCCCCACACAGAGCCCAGGGCCCTGACTGCTGCTGCGGCAGGGAGGCCCCCCAAGTGCTGGGGACAGCTTAGCCATGGGGGGTGCCCCACCCCCATCCCCAAGTACCTGTTGGATCCCATCAGGCTGAGCTTTTCATCGCTGTCCACGACACCTGGGCTGTTCTGACTCTCAGTCTCAGAGGTGTCCGTCCACAGTCACTTGGCTGCCAGGGACGCCCAGGCAGGCGGGACAAGAAGGGCAAGGGCCTTGAGCCAGCAGGCTCTGAGAGGCGTCCATCGTACTCGCCTCATGTCTCATGGAGCCTGGTCTGTACCCACGAAGGTGAACAGGTGTTGCCCCCGACCCCACACCCCCGCCAGCTCCATCCAAGCCCATGTGCCCGTGGCCTGGCCCCCACTGCCCAGGACCCCTCCTCCTCCAAGAGCCATCTTCTCACCATGTCCCCCAACCACCCCCAAATACACCAGGGGCTTTGGCTGTGACAGCGCACTGGCAGCCCCACTGGACTCTGAGGGGACCTCCGAGGTATCGCACTGGCAGTGGGTGGGCCCCTGGACACATCCCAGGAGGGAAGGAAGAGAGGACGCCCTCTGTGACATTGACCCGAACATCGAACATCGCAGCTCCAGGATCCTCTGCAGGCACCCCGCTGCTCACCGGGTCAGACTGAAACCTTACTGAATAAACCTCAGCTAAACAAAGGTGAAAACAAAAATACGAAAAATAAAGGGGAGGGGCCAGGGGCAGCGAGTGGTGACCACTTGCTACCAGACGTTAGACCCTGGCTTTTGTTCCAGCACTGCAAATATAAAATGGAAACAATTAAAAAGATGCCGGACACAGTGGTGGATGCCTGTGATCCCCAGGGACTCCTGAGACTGAGGCAGGAGGATCCCCGAGAGTCTCCCTTGGGCAACAAGTAATAAACAAATTTTTAAAATAAATAAACAAATAAATAAAGGTGAAAAAATAAATAAGGGTGTCAGGCACTGTGGCGCAGGCCTGTGATGCCAACTACTCAGGAAGCTAAGGCAGGAGGATTGCAAACTGGTGCACAGCCTGGGCCGCTCAGCGAGACTGTCTCCAAATCACAGAGAAAAGGACAGGGTGTGGGGTGGTGGCAGGCGTCCTGGTTCGATCCCCATCCCTGAAAGTGAATAAGGTGACTAGGGAGCCAGGTGTGGTGGCACACCCCTCAGCACTCGGAAGGCTGAGGCAGGAGGGTCGCCACAAGTTCCAGACCAGCCTGTGCTACATAGTTCAGAGCCAGCCTGAACTACAAAGCCAGGCCTAGTCTCAAAAAAAAAAAAAAGAGAGAGAAAGCAAGGTGATGAAGGACAGGCAGGCCGCGCATGCCACCTCCCCTCCAGGGACGGCAGCGCAGACTCGCCTGGGTCAGCGCTGGGGCGCTGCCCTGACTCAGTCCCTGGTCCCATGACCCAGTCCCCGCAAACCCGAAGGCGGCTCCGGTTTGTGGACTCGCACAGGTACCGCGCGGTCTCTGTCGCCGCCTGGCGGTCATGCCGAAAAGCGTACTCATGCCCGGGCCCCGCCCTCCACGTGGGTGACCTGAGGCCCTGCAGCTTCTCAGGCTGCAGCTCCCACCTTGAGCCCTCGCATCCTCCTACCCCAGACTCGACCCCCCTGCGAGGGGCAGCAGTGTCCCCAGCAGTGTCCCCAGGGGCCTGGGGGCATCTGGACCACAGGGGAAGCAGAGGCTGAGTCCTCCCTGGAGGCAGGGACTGTGGGAGGGATGGGCTCCTGTCCTCTCTGGGTCCCCCACACTCCGCCCGACAGACCAGGAGCCCCAGGACCCAGCTCTGTCCCCTGTTGCTGCCAGAGGCCTGGCACAGCCAGGCTAGCCTGAAGGATGTTGCATTGCCTTCTGTTTGGAGATTGAACCCAGAGCCTTTGTACAGAGCTACATCCCCAGTCGTTTTTAAAAACTATTATTTGCTGTAAGACAGGGTCTTGCTAGATCACTAAGTTGCTCAGGTTGGGTTCCAACTCGGGATCCTCCTGCCTCACCCTCCCAGAATGCTGAGATTGAAAGCCTGGGCTACTGTCCAGCTGGGATGGATGCATTTTACACACAGAGGGAACTGGACAGCTCTCAAACATGAAGTCTGCTGGATTGTTTCACGATCACGCCCCATAAAGTTTCCAGAAGATGAGGCTTTCCCAGCTCCCGGGAAGAGCCAATGCCCAGTGCCCAGCTCAGCCCAGGCCACCGCATTTCCTGTCCTCTGGACTTTGCCTTTCCCAGGGGTCCCACGAGTGGCCAACACAGGACATGTCCAGGAGAGGGGGCCGCACCCAGCAGGGCGTGTAGCTGTCGGGTGCTGGGCCGCCTGCGTCTGTGTTAGGCTTCTGTAAAAGAAGCCAAGTGGTTTTCCAGAATGGCTTCCCAGCCTCGGCATGGCGAGTCCCCATGTCCCACATCCCACATTCTTGCCGGCCTCAGCCAAGTCCCCTTTATCTCAGCCACGTGTCCAGTGTGGATTCCGGAGCGCCCGTCCAGGGACCACCAGTGTCCTGAGTCTCCCTGCCTCCAGCTGAGGTACAGGGGGCCCCAGTCCAGAGCCCACCTGAGTCCGAGATGCACACATGACATGGGAGTTCCAAGCAGAGCTCTGCTCTGGGTCACAAGTGACCACACCCGACCAGGAAGCACCAAGATGAAGGTCGGGTAGAGGCCAAGGTCTGTCTGCTCAGCCGCCACCAGGACCTGACAGCAAAGGGGACAGAGGCAGGGGTGGCGGTGACCACTGGCAGGGTTGGGGCCCTAGTCCAGTGCTGGTCTGGTTGACAGGTGTCTCAGCACCACTCTGTCCGGGCCCAGTGCCAGCATCACCCACGGGACCCCTCCTGATGGCACCTCATTGTGGGTGCTCTGATCTGAGGGGCCATGGTTTGGGCTTGCTGGGGCCCTGTCACAGAGGCTGATCCCCTCCGACCTGCAAGGAGGGGATATCACAGGGTGGGCAGGGTCACTGCCACCCTCCCCGGCCCCACCCCTGGTTCCCCTGCCTCAGTTCCTCCTTCGCTGCCAGCCCTTCGTCCCCAGGTCAGAAGCTGTGGGCTGGGTTCCCCGGGTGCCGCCTGTATGGCCGCCCAGCCTCCCTACTAGACTGGGGCTGCAGAGGCCACCCCCTGCCTCAGGCAAGTCTTTCCTGCCCAACTACTGTTGCCACTCTGGCCCCAGGCGCTGCCCCACTGGGGCATGATGACACCTGGGTGACGCCTTGGCCAGGGAGGGCCTGTTTCTGTTTCACGTGGGCAGGGGCCCCAGGGCCTTCGCCTGAGAGCTACGTCACAGCATTTTATTTTATTTTGAGACAAGTTTTGCCAAGTTGCTAAGTTGCCCAGGCTGGGTTCGCACTTCCAATCCTCCTGCCTCAGCCTCCCAGAGGGCTGGAGCTGCAGGCTAGTGCCACCACCCCAGGCCCAGACCTGGGTGCTGAGAGGCAGCGCCCTGAGGAGAAGAAATGGGCTCTGTTGGGGGCGGGTGCCGGCCACTCTCACTGCAGGCAGAGAGGTTCTGGGGTCAGATGGCTGCCGTGACAAATTCCACTGGCTAGCGGCATAGCAACAGAGAACTATTTTCTCCCCGCTCCAGAGCTGCTCCCTCTAGGTGCCCACAGGTGTCCGTCCGCCTTCCCACGTCTGCACACCTCTGTGCAGGCCAGGTCCCCACACAGCACAGTCCTGTTGTTCAGCAGGTGCGATGTGGCCCACAGGCGCTGCCTGCCTCTGGAGGTGTGGAGGGCGAGGCCAGCTGCTGACTGGGCTTCTGCCCGCTCTGGCCCTTCCTCCCCTTCCTCCTTCCTCCAGGCCCAGCCAAGCACCTGGACAAACATCTTGTGCCTGTTTCCAGCCAGCCTGCCTGGAGCCCAGAGGCCTGAACAACACTCGGGCTGGCACTTTCAGCTTGGTAGGGGTCAGAGGGAAGGAAGGGGATAGAGGAGGGGCCTCACCCTGCAGGGTGGTCCTGGGGTCCTGGGGTCCTGCCCCCTCAAGCTGCCAGCACAGCACCTTCAGCTCAGGTCCCCATCGGATTCCACCCTGCACCCTGGGAGCAGGCAGGGCTTAGGCAGTAAGGTGCTCTGGACCCCAAAGGGGGCCCGGTGCAGGGGCCAAGGTGGATGCAGCATGGCAGGCCCCTCAAGACATGGATCTCAGATGCCATGTCAGGTTCACAGCCACCAGGTGCCCCAGGGATTGGAGCAGGACAGAAACCCCCGAGGGCCTCCTCCCAGCCCACGGGCCACCCCCACCCCATCCCCCGCACTCTGTGCCTCCTGTCCCCCTTGCCCGGGCCCTGGGGTGGATCCAGGAGTGGACACAGCCAGCTGCGGGGGAGGAGAGAGGTGGGTTGAAATTTGAGAGCCGCACACAGCTGTCCAGGAGTGGGCAGAAGTCGCCAGATGTTCAGGGGGCGCCGCCTACCGTCCTCCTCCCCAGCCGCCTCTGCAGCCCTTGGCGGCAGCTGCCGGGCTTGTGGGGTACACGGGAGTCTCCACTGCAGGTGCTGACCCCTTTGCCTCCCTGCGGGTCTGCGCCGCCCTGACCAGGCTGCCGGGCTGAGGCTTTGCCAGGGAATCCCCGGCTGCAGTGGGGCTGGCTTTGTTTTTCAGGCAGGATTTGGAGCCGGGACAATGGCACTGATGTTATTTTCCTTCTGAGCGAGTTCTCCTCATCTGGGAGCTGAGGGCCAGACTCCCGCCTGGGCTTCCTTCCGGCCTGCAGAGGATGAGGAGAGGGGTGGGGGATGCAGGGGCTCTGTGTTCTCCCCTCCTGACTGCCCGCCAGGGTTCTCGCTCCGGCCTGGCCCTGTGTGGGGCTGTGCCAGGCTCTGCTCTCGACGTCCATGGAGAATTCAGAGGCTTCTGTCACCCTAGGCTTGCAATTTGAGGCAGGGGTTGCTGAGGAGAGAAAGCAAAGGGTGAGTCAGACTCAGAAGAGGCCCTGGTGAGGACACAGGCACAGCGGGGCCGGAGTCCACCGTGTATGACCCCGGGCAGGAAGTCTGCCTCTCTGGGCCTCAGTGCCCCCTTCTGTGAGATGTGGACCGCAGTGCTGCCCAGCTGAGCTACCTCGAGCATCCCCAGTGAGGGCTGAGGCAGGAACCCCAGCCCACAGTCCTCACTTCCCAGCAGCCCCTCTGGGCCCCCCAGTCTCACTGCCCAGAATGGGTAGACGCTGTGACGCCCACAGGTCTGGGCCCCATTGTGGCGTCCCAAGCCCAGCCCATGGTAGCTGAGGGCTAGTGAGGACACGGACAGACAGCAGGCCCACCGCCCAGGCCCTGTGTCCCTGCCCTGCCCCTGCCCCCAGGTGCACGTGTCCCCAACACCAGCGTTCACCATACACCAGCTGATACTCACATGGTCCTCAGCAATGCCTCCCAACCCCCAGAGAAACTGAGGCACAGGCCACAGCAGAGGGACTTGGGGGGCTGGGTTTCACCAGTGTCATCCCGGGAGCTGTAACAATGGAAGGTTTGGGGCAAACAGACAGGGGGTGCCTCCTCTGGCTCCCTTCCCATCTGTCCCTCAGGTGAGGGGAGGTGACAGGAGCTACAGCCCCAGTGGCCCCACTACTCAGGGCCCTGGCCCACTTTGTCCAGGCTGTCATAGCCGCACCTTAGCCTCTGTCCCCCTAGAAGTTCATATCCCAAGTGTGTAGCATCTCCCCCAGGCATGTGTGTTTATTTATTTTGAGACGGGGTCTCACTATGTAGTCCAGTCTGGCCTTGGACTCCTGGTAATCCTCCTGCCTGTCTCCCAGGTGCCAGGACCCAGGGGTGAGCCACCATGCCTGGCTTCCAAGTTTATTTTTACTGCTTTTTTTTTTTTTTTTTTGGTATGGGGGATCGATCGGGACCTTTCGCTTACAAGGCAGGCGGTGGAACCACTGAGCTAAACCCCTGGCCCCCAAGTTTATTTTTAACACCTATGATTCTTGGAGGGAAACAGAAAATTCACACAATCCCCCATCCAGAGGTCATGTATCTGGGGGTTCATGCTGTCTCTCCTGAGCCCCATGTCCTGCAGGTCCCCTCAAGGGTCCAGTGCCCACACCCTGGGGAGGCAGTGCCCAGCCCAGGCAAGGGGGAAGTGAGAAAGGGGAAGTGGAAATGCCTGCACCCTCCACCCTCTGCTCAGCTATCCACAGGGCCTGTGCTCTGGTACAGGATGGGCCAGGTGGACCCTGCCCAGCCACCCCAGGGTTTGCACCCCTTCTGGGAGCTCAGCCTGGCCAGCAGAATATTAACACTCCAGGGTGACTTTAGGGTCCTGCAGCCATCACCACCTGCATATGCTGGTGGCCCCAGCAGTTATGGGATCCAGGGACGTCTCTCCTGCTGTGTCCCTGTGATCCTGGCTGGCCCTGGCCTCTGCGGTGCGCCCAGGAGCTCCTCTGCTTGTGAGGGTCACAGTGACAACTGCAGGACCCAGGTGGGGAGGACAATGATGCTGACCTCACCAGCTCCCCCCCCCCCACTTCCTGCAGTGGTGTCACCTTCCAGGCGCATCTGTGGCTTGGTGGAACACTGCTTCCTGCTCACGGTGGGCTGGGTGGCAGGGACTGGGTGAGCTCAGGGCACCAGGAGCTGCCCCTGGCCACTATTCCCACCCTCACCCACGGGGCAGGACATAGCACCTTGACACCCTCTGCAGATATCAGTCACAGACCACACAGCAGGCATCACCCCCAGGCAGGGGCTGCACAACTCCTCAAGATCACAAGGCACTCGGAGCCTGGATGAGGGAGCACCACCCCCTTTACCCAAGTTGGCTTCAGGGTTGAGCTTGCAGAAAGTGGACAGGAGGGCTGGGGATTTAGCTCAGTGGTTCTGCCGCCTGCCTCTCAAGCACAAGGTCCGGAGTTCAAACCCCGGTACCAAAAAAAAAAAAAAAAGAAAGTAGACAGGAAAGGACCCTTGGGAAGTAGCATTGGCTGGAGGGACAGCAGGTGGGGGAAGGGACAGGACGTCTGGACTCCCTGGGTAGTGGGGTCCTGGGTACAGAGATCATTGGGACAGCCAGCGTAGAGCTGTGGCCCTGCTGGTCAACCAGGGCACATAGCCACTCGGGTGGGGCGTGGGGCATGGGGCACTTTCACCTGGAAGAAGCCGGCAGGGACAGCAGAAGTCAGAGATGGGCCTGAAGCATCTGCCGAGGCGCCAAGACTCCCCAACTCTAACTCCTCCCCGCTTACTGAGAGCAGAGGCAAAGGGCTAGAGCCATGGCCATGAGGCCCCGGGACCTTTGCACTTGCTGCCCCCCTGTCACCCCCAGATGTTCCCACCCAGCACTGCATGGCCGGGACTTGCCCTTCACCCAGAGCCATATCTTCTTGCCCATGTGGCCACTCTGCACACACTGGTAGCTTCTATCCAGATGAAAGGGCTTTTCCAGCCCAATCCTGTAGGCCTGGCTCCTGCCATGTGCCAGGTACAGGTGCCCATCTCTGTGGCCTGTGTTGGGTACTGAGGGCACAAACTGCAGACACCACCAGCCAAGCTGCTGCCCACCAGGGGGCTGCAGAGGGGCTGAGGCCCTCCCTGCCAGAGGCGAGTGATGAGTGGGACCCAGAGAGGAGAGGGGATATCACCATTCATCCTCCCTGGTGAGCATGCCCAGCCCACTCCTGCCAGTGACAGGGGACACAGGGACCCTGCACAGCCCAGCTTGACATGAGCCTGGCTGGGGGAGGAGCTGTTGCAAAAACCGAGGTCCCCGCTGGAGCACCGGACAGCAAGAGTGTCTGGGGACAAGGGGTGGGGACTCAGGGACACCCGGGACCCAGCTGGGGGTCAGGGGCAGCTTCTCAGTAGGGATGGGGAAGTGTAGGGGGAAGTACAGGCTGAGGATGGTGGCTCATCCCAGGACAGCTGGCTGCGGTCAGCAGGGCCACTTTTGAGTAAGGAGCAATGATGTCACCCAAAAGTCCCTGAAGAACCACTTCCAAGTTCCTCAGCAGACGGGGCTCGGCCAGGGAAAGGGAGGCTGAGCTGCAGAGCCTCAGGCCAGACCTGGACCATGCAAGGTCAGAGGTGGGCCATTTGGGGTCACAGGCTAGACCACCCAAGGCCAGAGGCTGGACCATCTGAGGCCAGAAGTAGACAACTCAAGGGCAGGGGTGAGACAATCCAAGGTCTTGCTGGGCCACCTGAGCTCAGGGGTTAAACCGTCCAGAGCCAAGGTCTGGAACTCCCAAGGCCAGCAGGAGTCACTACCCAAGGGCACACGGAACTCCCCTAAGCAGAGTTCAGGTGACTGACGGCCCCTAAAACCCTGGAGTTCTGGGATAGCAGGAGGGGCCAGGGCCTCGGGGAGACAGGCAGACCTGGGTCCTGCTGGTCCATGCCAGGCTCTCATCACCCCTGTGTGAGCATTCACCCCTCATCCTCCCTTTCCCTTTCCAGATTCAGAGCCCAAGTGGGTCCTTGCAGTATCTATGCTGTCACTAAGGGTGACCTGGTGGGGGAACAGCTCTGCCCTTGTGACCACCCAGGATGGGCTGGAGGAAGTGTGTGCCAGGCTAGGCCTCAGACACCCCACCTCAGTCCTTAGGCCTAGTGCTCAGTGCCTGCCAGCAAGCGCCAGGCCCCAGGTCCCCTCCCAGATGGCAAAAACAGAAAAGTAGGGCTCTGCCACCTGCCAGCTGCCGGCTGTGGAAAAGGCATGGCCCCTCCTCGGTTTCCCTACCTATAAATGGGTGGGATAACGTTACTTTCTTGGTAGGACTGTTGTAGGTTCAAATAAATTAACATGCACAAGGTGCTTGGGACTGGGCACCCACGGAAGGGCTGAGGGGCCTCTGCTACCACTATTTATTCTTTCTGCAGCCTCAGTGTCCCCTCTGCAGAGGACTCAGTCCCTGCCTTGTGATAGGAGGGCCCTGTGCCCAGCTCAGGCTGCACTGTGCAATCACGGAGCCTCAGGTACAGCCACTGCTGGTCCCTGGGTTCCTGCCCAGCCAGGATACAGGCCCAGTGCCACACCTCTTGGCCTCAGTTTACCTGTCCAGCAGCCACTAGCCCTGGCTCTGTGCAAGGCCCAGCAGGGAAGCAGCTACACACAGTAGGACTGCACAGCCCATGCCTCCCTCCTGTCCTGTCTCAGGGCTGGGACGTGGGTGGGGCCCGTGCCCTCGCCGTGGCACTGGACAGAGGCCTCACTGTGAAGCCACGGCCCCAGCAGAGCGGCCCATGACAGGGCGTCTGAGAATGCCGCCCATTGTCCCCTCACAGAGCACAAAGGCCAAGCCCAGGCCAGGCGCCTGCCGTGGGCGCTCGTCCCCCAGCCACAGAGGGCAAGGACATGGGTGTCAGAGGGCACCACTCACACCCAGGAATGAGAACCATTTCCTGCACCCCAGGGGTGGCAGGAGGGTGCTTTGGCAGTGGGAGCAGGTACAGAAGGGAAAGCCTGGCTTTCCCTGGAGCTGGGGCCTGCAGGGAATGTCTGACTTCACATGAGGGCCACGAGGAAGGGACAGGCACGGTGTGGCCTCGGGTGGCCCTGGGGCCTCTCAGAGCCTCTGCATCGCTCCAGCTCCAGCAGCCCTGTGGCATATATCACAGAAAGTGAGGCTCACAGAGAGGCGCCAGCGCGGTCACCCTGGGCTCGGTGCCATGGTGAGGGGCAGGGCTGGCCGAGCGGGTGGCGTAGGCAGCAGCCCCGTCTGCAGGGAGCCTCGGTGGTCGTGTCCTGGCCTTGTCACCAGCAGCTTCCTGGCCACAAGGCGCAGGGAGGAACTGCGCGTCGGGAGCTTCCTGTGGGGAAACAGGCAGGGCTGGGGCGGAAGGCAGATGGGGACAGGGCGCAGGCAGGATCCCTCCTCCAGCCAGCTCGGCCCACTGTTGTTTTTTCTAGTCGAAGAAGAAAAACATTTCCACCTCCTCCCCTTCCTGGTATTGCTGTTGCCCTCCTCCTCCCTGTCCCAGACAGCCAGGGCAGCCGGAGCATGGAGGGGACAGGCAGCGCTGGAGACGGGTGTGGGGAAGGCCCAGCCACCAGCCTTGAGCCTGGACAGGGATGTGCCCCGCATTGCTGTCACCTTGGCCTCCCACTCGTCCCTGTGCCTGGCGCCTGGTTCTGAGGCAATTCCCACCGCTGTATGTGTGGCAAGAAGCAGGCACTGGAAGCGGACTTGAGAAAGCCAGTGCCACTTTAGGGTTTGAGTCCTTCTTCCTACTGAAGAGGGACAGGGACAGACGCCAGCCACCACAGCCAGTTTCCACAGCCACGGGCACTCGCGTGCTTAGGGTTGGCACTGGCCACCCACCCTCTCCTCAAACCCCTTCAGGAGGGCACCCCGGCACCCAGCAGGCCAAGACCTGGGGTGCACTCCTCCCTCCTCTGTCACCCTGCCCCACCAGAAGCCCCAGGTCTGGCTTCGAGTTCTCCCCTGCTGGTGCTTCTAGGAAAGGGCTCAAGGACTCAGCCCTGCCGGGGTGGTGTGGAGGGGGTGGCCCTGCTGGCCTGGGCTTTGACCTCTAGTGGACCAGGGTTAGCCAAGTGCCCATGACGTGCAGGCCAGATGACCTCTGTTAGGGTCATTCCCTAGGTGTCACAGTCGACTTAGGGAGCCATCAGAATGGGCCTCATTTCTTTCTTTCCTTGTTTTTCTTTGAAACAGTCTCACTCCAGGCCTTGAACTCAGGGTGACCCTCCTGCCTCAGCCTCCCGAGTGCTGGGATGACAGGCACGCGTCACCTCACCTGGCAAGATGGTCCCTGTCTTACAGGCGAGGACACTGAGGCTCAGAGAGGGACGCCCCTGCCTGCCGAAGCACAGCACCTCCTCCCTGCAGTCTAGCCCCAGTCACCCCCACGGTGGCCCCAGTCCTGATCAGCGGCAGGAAGTCGTCCAGAGCTAGACAATGGCTGTGGTGAGCACAGCGCATTCTCCTCAGGGCTCTGTGGGGGGAGCTGCAGGATCGGAGGGAGAGGAAGGAAGGAAGGAGGCGGAGGAGGAGGGAAGAGGGCGGAGGAGATGGAGCTGGGGCGCAGAGACGAAGCAGGGGGAGAGGCGCAGGTGGCATCGCCCCCCACACATGGCGCAGGACCCCTCCCGGGCTGGCCGGTTGTGCAAGGGGCCTCAGTTTCCGGCCAGTGGAGGGAGCCTCGGGTGCTGGGCACAGGAGAGCTCGGCCCTTCCTTCCTACAGGGCGGGGCACACGACCCGGGCTGTCAGGGGGCTGGGGCCCTGCCCTCTACCCCCAGGACTCAGTTTCCCGATCTGCGAACTGGGAAGCAACAGCTCCGCCTTCGAGGGGGTCTGGGTGCCGCCTGTCCCCGTCGTGGGTCCTCTCAGAACATGGGTAGTGCCTGGCCGGTGCCGGCGGGGCGCAGCTCTGGGGATCCAGACGCGTCCTCACTGGCCCTTCTGGGTCCTTGGGCCCTGCTGCCTGCCAACCCGTCCAAAGGAGCTGGGGTCCCCGTCTGGTGGCTTTGGTGTGCTGTTCAGGGGCCAGGACGGGGGTGGGGTGGAGTGGGGCCGGG